TTTCTTGAAAGCCTTTTTCGCTTGCCGGCGCCATGCTCCTCAGGGGTGCCAGCCTGTAATTTTTCGGGGGATTGGGTTTCGAAGTGAACGAACCATTCATTGTCTGTGGGAAAATTGAAATGTGCGAGGTGTCTCCTCTACCCTGTAGCTCCACTCTTTAAAAATTTGCAAGTTATTCCAGTATAGTACAACATCGTTGGGAGTGAGGGGACCTACTTGATCGACGGGGTGGGTAACCTTCCCCAAGAGAATTTTTTTGATGGTTTAAATGACTATTTGATTAGTGGCGACCTTTACTCGCTCCCCTTCCCGTACAGTTGCCAGGGGTTTTTTGCGAGAAAGTGGATTTTTCCACTCGGGAAATTGCTAAAAAATTTGATAGAATCGAAGGAAAATTCAGCAGGCTGTAGGCTGGAAGGAGGAGGGGTCGTATCAGAGGAGGAAATGGGGATAGTTTAATACGCCGCCATTTCACACACCTGGCAGAATGGCAGACTGGCGCCCCAAGAGGTAGGTAGCGCTTCTGTATCTAAGGTTAACAGTCTTCCAAAGCCAGATATTGACCACATTTGCTAATATTGTATCCAATAAGCTTTAAGTTTTTATCAATTTTTAATTAGTTTGAAAATTGCAAGAAAGTTAGTTCAATTTCACAGTGGATTCTGGCAATTATATGGGTGATTGCTGATTGCTTCTGAATGAATCCAGTGAGAAACATATTAATCAGTGAACAACACGGTCAGTAGGCAATAATAATGGGGCATTCATGGCTATTAAGTAGTTATTAGTTTTTTTGCTGTGAATATTAACCTATAACGAAAGCTAGACTGCTAAAAAAGCGGGCAGGACTTTTCTCTCGATTTTCTCGTTCTTTGATCACCGTACTGCCAATCAGCCCAAAATTATGCTTATTTGTAAGGATTGCAAGGAAATTTTATCGAGAATAATAAATATAACAATTGACTGTCAATGTTCGGGGGTGTGCCTCAAGTTGAAGCAAGACCTGGTGTTCTACTTTTTTTTGGGGGTGCACGAAAGCACTAACATCTTTAACAAGGGGTTTACACGTTCTCTACATAGGTGAGCAGTGCATGATGTTGTACCTTGCGTCAGTTTTTACTCAAGCGCTGTACTGTTTAGTTTCGGGTTGAGATATTTGGCTATATGGTTGCCTACCAAAGTGCCGATAGCATGCTTGTTCCAGAAAGTCAATCATAGCTGGACAGTGAAGAATTTCTCTCATTGCTATCAAGAATATTTGGAGAATTTTGTGTATTTGTCGAGAGGCGATGAGACGTTAACGTGGTCGATCAAAATTTATCCGAAGGGGAATGGCGAGAATAACAAGGACTTTGTGTTTTTGTGCTTGAATCGTGTGGTGAGTTCATTTCAACACTTCTCATTTTTTACATCTCTTCTATTTCCTTTTTTTACCTCTGACGTTTTTTCTTTTATGTACATTTTGTTTATTATGATGATTGCAGGTGAATAGCAATGCTAAATCGACGAAAATTGGCTTTAAGTCGAGGTTCATGCTCAGGACAGCAGAACTAAAAGAGATTGATGTAAGTAAATCGTACATATTGAGAAGTGGTTGTTTCATTCCATGGAAGGTTTCAGTGCGGCCCTTGGCGCTATTGGACCACCAAGAGTCAAAAATAATTTCGTCACCATTTTTCCCTTCAAAATAATTTTTCAGATGCGCATTCATCCAAATCCGTCGCATTCGGATTATGTCTCATATATCAAACGAGACATTCTGTTTCCACAAATACTGCCAAGGGATTTGATAATCGTGAACGTTGAGATTGATGTAGCTGTTGAGACGATCACCACGACGACTGAACCAATAATGGTGTGTTTCGATTTTTATTGTGATTTTCTTCATCGAATAGGGTTCCCCGAACGTATGCAGAAGCTATTTTTTTTATTTTCAAGCTTTAGTCTATCGATTACGGGTTATGGGGGATGGGGGGAGGGAGGTGTAGTTGGGAAGTTGCCTTTCGGAAAACGTTGACGTGACACTTCAGGTCTTTCCTTCTTCAAGTGCGCTATCTCTCCCCTTCATCCCCCTTGCTTCCTCAACGGCAGTTTTTCGAGTAGAAACTGCAAGGGTTTCTGAAAAAGTGCTAGGAAGGTTGTGAAAATTTAAAAGATGGTCAGTGGGTAGGTAGTATGGAGAGGGAGGTCGTACTAGTGAGAGAAGTTTTGAGGAGTCGTTTTTGAAAAAAAAAAACTTCGCTTTACGTAATTGGCCAGGGACCGCGTAGATGTGTCATTGTTGCCAGTTACTACCTTCGCCGTTGAAAAAAGGGATGGAAGGGTATGCATTAAGCCTTCGCATCTTTTTTTTTTCGCGGCAATAACATTTGTTGGGTTCTGGTCACGCCTATGCTACGCCTACGAATGGCATCGGGGCTGTGCCTCACCCAGAGCTAAAAGTGTTTCTAGAGCTAGAAGAAGTTAGAGGGTTCGTTGCAGTGCGACTAAGTCATCTGTCTCCACCACTCACTGAAACAGTGATCTTCACTGGCTGGCTTCTAAATTCCTAGACTCTCCCAACTTCCTACCACTTCTTCCGCGTTCTGTTTTGAAACTTCTCAGGTTTTTCCTTTGGAATGCCGTTAGGCGGCGCGGTAGGGGTATACGAGACGGGGAACGAGAGAAGTTACTATTCGAAAGTTTTTTCTAATAGCAAATATGACCCTCTTGTTGGGATCTCTGTATATGGCTCGCTCCGAGTACAGTGGGTGGTGGCGTGCCGGGGATAAGGCGAGGCAGCTCAAAAAGCGATGTCCATTTGATTGGAAAAGCAAATATTCTTCCCTTCCACACCCTGCACCCCATCCCCTTTCTTCCGCAGACTCGAGTTTTGACAATGCGGATGAGGGAGTGGATCCGGTAACGGTGCTACCCTCTCGATGGAAAGCTCCCCAGTCTCACTTTCCGTGATGCTGCTGAAACTGACTGCATCAGGTTCAATCGAAATGAAATGATGGCTTTCTCTGCATTGTGAATGCACTTGAACAAAATGCGGCTGTGTGGGGTTGGAAGCTCATCATGCATCAGCACATGATCAATATTTGCACAAAGTACGTCCAATGAAGCTATGTGCGCGATCATTCTTTGAGTAGGATCTTCACGAGTTGAGAGCTGATACCTGCGCGCACGTAATTGACAAGAGACAACGTCGCTGAGAACGAGTGAAATCCGTTGCTTCAAACTCCCGCCCCTTGTTTTCTTGAACTGAGCCCTTAATGAGGCATCAGACATATGGCTGTAGGCAGGCGGCACGAGTCGGTGGGGAATCAGTGAGGAGTCGTCCGTGGTCGCTGGACGAGGGACATCGTGTTCTGTCTTTGAATGAAATGTTTCTGGTTGTTGACGTATCGCCATTTTTCCGTTTCATATGCGCCACTCCCCCCACCCCGCTAGAAGGGATTTTTTTTGGAAACAGGAGAACTGGGAACACTGGGGAAAAATTGGGAAATTTAGGAAGGTGTTAGGTAGGGTGGAAAAGATGGTCAGACCGGTGCAGGAAGCTTTTATTTTGCGGTGGGGGCGGATGGGGTCATATTTCATACATTTTTGTACACTCCTGACAACAGGACGTGCCAACACAGCGAACAAACAACAGGACGGTGGAAATAAGATGCTTTGGTTGAAGTTGAGGTGATGTGCTTAGGTAATGAGTATAGGTGATGTGGTAGTTGATGAGCGGGGCACAGACAAATCAAGGGCAAATTTCACATAATACGACACCTTCAAATTACGACGTCTTCCTTAAGACGACGTCCTACCTGCCGGTGCAATCCTACTCACCGTCTCCATGCCACGTCCATCATTCCCATCATTTTTGGAGTTTTTTTCTCTCGAAATTGATCGATCTTCTCGTCATCCCTCCAGAAAAACTGCTACTTGAGCTAGGAGCTGACGCGGAATGATCGTGCCGATGGGAAAATTCCGAGAAAACTCAGTAGTTGAAAATTTTTGAAGTAGTCAAAAAAACGGCTACGACTCCCACCTTCCCCCATGTCAGTGGGCATCCCAACCTACGACATGCACTGGTGTTAAGCCTTTATCCAGTCTCCGAAAAAATTGTTTGTGGAACACAGTACTGTTGGTTACTTGCAAGTGATTATTCCACTAGTTAGAGAGCAGGCGAGTAAACATCGTTTGATAGTTGCGAAACTGTTTTGTCAGCATACGACCCACCCCTCGAGGGAGGGTCTCGATACGACCCCCCGCCCCCTTCCCAGCACCTACCTACCAATTTCTTACATTTTCCAGTTTTTCACCGAAGATTTTCCGTCAAGCGAGGGGGATGTACCCAACGTGAAACGGGAAAATTTCTTGATTCCAGAACTTCCCGAAAATTTTCCTACTTTTCTCCGAAAATTGCTGTCGAGCAGGAGGAGGGGAGCATATAGTACACATGAAAGCAGGAGAAATCACGCAAAAGTCAACAACTCGCCCCAGAAAACTTTTTTCCCAACGCGGCAAATATCTCTCAAAGTGACATACAGCTCCCCTCTCCCAACGACCAAATACGGCCCCACTCCCCAGCGAAAAGTACGTTCTCCCTATGTGTTTCACCACAACAATGCTGTACCTGGGAACAGAATGTGTGGCGCGGTGTGTTTCTACCTGAAGCCACCTCAGGTCTCGGTTCGGTAGAGTTGCAACATTAGCTCAGGCGAGCCACTTGATGTCGATAGACCTTCTCACTTTGTTACGGCCGCGGCGTTCTGGGATGTAGTAGTGAGCAGAACTTCCTCAGTACTACTTCTCATTCAGGACTACGGTGTACTCGATTTCACCTTTTGTTCTAGGGGACGACATGAAAGCCTTTTTCGAAATAAAGACGAAATAATCAATAACAGCCAACGAAGCGTGCGACCGTTTTTCAAAGCCACACCCTTTTCCCGTCTTACATTAATGACATAGCGAAATCAGTTACCTGCGACCTGAACTGAGGGCGTCATTCATCTCACAGTAATAACGAGTTATTGTTTTTTGTGAGAGTGCCATTATTCACTGAACTGTGATGTGTGATTCAAATGCATTAGGTTGTTCAACTGGTTTTTTCGAAAGTAATTTCTCGACGGGTTCTCTTTCACGTGAATGGTTCAATGATTCCATTGCGACTTGGAGCAATCAAGAAGCATAGAACTGGTTCAAACCTTCGAGGATGAAGGGATTGTTCAATAAAAAAAACCTTTTTGCAGACATCAAATTGCGAACAACAACTGGTGGAGGACTATCAACGATTATTCCGTGATGATTTGCTGACAGATTTCACGATTCGAGTCGGTGGAAGGGAAATTCGAGCACATCGTGCTATACTGGCGGCGAGGTAGTTTGGAGTTTTGCTTATTTGGCTTATTAGGTGCAATGCTTTGACTTCGTATAGTTCAACGGAAAAAGTTGCTGAGAGGATAAAACTCTTTTGCCACGTTTTCTCGCTGTATTGACTCAAGGGAAATTGCTCATGTAGGATCATCTATTGATATATAAGACAATGATGTTACACTGTGGATGACGCGGGGCGTGTCAGGAGGGCCGGATTTGGCGCGCAGCCCTTTTTTACTAGCTCTTTAAGCGAGTAGTGATGGGCAACAACTGGTGAAAAATGAGGGTTCAAGTTATGAGTTTTGTGTAAAAAGACTGTAACGATAAGAAAAAAGGAGCTGATGCTGCAGCAAACCCATCCTTCCTTGACACGCCCCATCTTCTGCGGCGAACAAGACTGTACCATATCCCACTAAGTGTGGAGAAGAAATGTGGCGAGCGAGTACACAAATAGGCCCTCCTGCGCCATATAGGAATGATATGATGAAGGCGGAGATGAAACGCAGAGGGCAAAGACGATGAAGGGCTGCAGACCTCTGGAACTCTTATGGAACGATTTCGAGCTGCGAAAGGGGTGTCATGCGCTTGTGGAACGAGCCACGATCCAAGAAAGGAATTTTGCTTGTTGGTTGATTGCGGACTCTGTCTTCAATCTTTCCCTGCCTAATTTTACCTATTTGTTTTAACTTTATGTTCAGGAAATTCGCTTTCAAGAGGGGAGTGGCTTCATGTCTAGAACGCCAGACAAGGTTCAAGTTCAGTGGTGGGAAAAACAAACAATGATAGGATAAAAGGCAAAAGGAAGAAGGGCATAAAATGGGCAAAAATTAGGGATGAATTATGACAAATTGCTCCTGCGGACTACACCTATTTTCACCATTTTTTTTGGCTGTTTCCACACAGCCTGGTTCATCACAGATTGTGTCGGCCACGGTAGATGATAAATATCCAGAAGGGAACGTTACCATTTGATGTGGTTTCAACTTGTGATTTGGTCACTGCCACTCATTTTCAATAGCTGCGCGTCACGATCGATATCATTTCGTGACAACCCATCATGCAGCTCGGAGTTTATTAGTTCCGAGAAAAAAACAAGGTCATAGCACGCGAACAATGAACAAGCATGATGTTTCATCCATCATGCTGGGGAAAACGAGCGTTCTAGAAGGGGGTATTTTCCCTGTGTACTCATGAATATTTCACACCAGTGCAGTGAAGAAGCGGGAGTGGACAACCGGGTCATGTGATGCTGAAAACCCAGTCGTAACAGCAGGGATGGTTGTTTTTTATTAATAAAGAATGGTTATTGCAGTATAAGTAGTCAGGTTGCATCTAAGTAGCTTTGCAGTGTACTTAAAGACAGCACGTAACTATCAACGTGCACTGTTCCTTGAAGCAGGGGGCATTCTGCGAGCAACTTTTCGTGTCAGGAAGGGAGGCCACGAGGGAGTATGTGGACTTTTCGTATCCCACGGGCCAAGATCGGAAGAGC